TATGACTACTGACATGTTTATTTTAATGAGAAATTAGTATTTATCATTTCATACAGCGACGAAAGCTTGTCTCAGATTTTTGCAAAGACATAGTTCATGGGTAAGAGAAACAATATACGATAATTTTAACTCTATTTATCATTATTATTTTACCCGTGTTTATAAAACTAATTTAATTTCATTTATTTAACACCATCGACATTATGGCATTAGTAATCTGTGATTATGGTGTCAGCCTCTTATCCAATAATGAAATAAAATTTTCAGTTAACCACAAAATCAACTTGCTTGCTAAATATAAAAACAACATAATTGTGTTTCTACTCGTTTTGTTCAAAGTTAATGTCTTCATTGGCTGTTTGGTAGACACTCCTGCCATCTGTCGTTAAATAGCTGCAACTTCTTAAGCTACGAATTCATACCGGTGCATAACAGTAAGAAATGATCTGCGAACGTGTGAAGCTTATCTTATAATATTGAATTTCAAATAATTTCTTAACCAGTCTTTCTAATTTATTTAAATCTTATACATTCTTCTTGTTTATCACTTTGACGGAGAGAAGATCGTAAAAAATATAGTTCGACTATTTTTGAGTTTTCATATAATATCTTAGTTTCAACGATTTTTTTTTGAGATTATTTCAGAATAAATGTTACAAAATACAGTCAGATAATAAGCGTTATTAAAGATCTAATAGCATAGATAGACCAATATCTATAATATATTCGATTTATATTACTTTATTTATTTATATTACTTTACATTATGTATTGACTTATACATTATTTAGTTTAATTGGCAAACGAAAGTTCTTCGATGTTCCATATAGGCTAAATTAATTCTGTATCTTTTAACTGTGTTTTTACGTACATACAAGAAAATATCACAGTATTATTAGAGCAGTTAAGAAGTTTAGTCACGGAATTTATTAATTTTTACCGATTTCTATAAAATAAATTTATAACTGATTTATGGTAAGTGTTTTTTTTGTAAATTTTTCATGTTTATTTGGTTGAGAACTTGGTTTCCTAAATTAATGAACTTATCATATGGAATGAGATCAAGACTCATATAAAGAAGTTTAGTCTTGTCATCGATATCCATTAATCTATCCGGCCCTTTTTTATTGCTTCGGTGGGTGGACCAGCTCGCAGCCCACCTGGTGTTAAGTGGTTACTGGACATCTATGACGTAAATGCGCCATCCACCTTGAGATATAAGTTCTAAGGTCTCAAGTATAGTTACAACGGCTGCCCCACCCTTCAAACCGAAACGCATTACTGCTCCACGGCAGAAATAGGCAGGGTGGTGGTACCTACCCGCGCGGACTCACAAGAGCTCCTACCACCAGTAAAAACTAACTGAAATCACACATCGTGCTCTGATTTGAGGCAGATTTTTTAGTTTTATTTGACCGAGGTAATATTACCTCAATCAAATAAAACTAGAAAAGGCTTTAGAAATGTTTTTGCTTCACAACGCGTGTTTACGATTCAAAACGAAAGCCAATTAATTAAAAGCGGTGCGTCCGGTAAACAATTTTATTGCAGTAATCATCTGCAACATCCATATAAAGGTAAGAGTATAAAATATATTGTCGCATCGACGATCTCCGATTGGTTCCGTAGATTATTAGCCTCTATTTGTGTTGTCAATGTTTATAGCCGTTTTATGAGTACTGGCGGTTTTATTGGGGGTCTCAATTGGTATAGTAACGGATTTGATTAAGTAAAGGAATCGTTACGTTTTGTTTGTCGCTAAATGAGTACGTTTTATGATCTATATCTTACTGGATGGATGTTGGCCGTGAATTATATTTAGCTGCAGTAGAGATATTCGATAATGTTTTGTTTTTACGGCGATTCCTTCCTTCGGTTAAATTAAATAAATAAAAGTTTTAAAAAAACTAATAAAATACGCTTTTATAGAAAATCCAACTAAAAAACAGAAAATAAATTTTAATTAAAAATAGTGTAAGAAAAAATGATTTTATTGTAAAAAAGCGTGAGGTGCATGGTATCAGTAGTTATATTACAATTATTTTTTTAATATTGAATTGTCATCGGTCCTTATTAAGAATACCAAATTTCGAGTTAATCCGACGTTTTGAAGGGGGTCAAAATCATGTTCAAAGATTCCGTTACATACTTACATACATACGTCTGAAGCTAATAAAAGCGTATTAAAAAACAAAAGGATTACGCTCAAATGTGCTTTCGTAGCTGCTCTAATGTCGGACTATTACAATAAATTTTGCAGTATTTGTAAAATATCGCAGTATTTCTTACTCTATTCGGGAGTTGTGGTCGTAATAAAAACTACTTATACAGCTTAATCCCGCTTTTAAAATTACCGTTATCAATGTTTTATAGTATTCATGTCATTTGTAAACATTAAAAGAACGTCAGATGTGACGACGTGTGTGATGACGATTTAACATTATTCTTAAAAAAAATTGGCTTAGTTAAAATATGCCAATACTCTCTCTCTACTCTACTTAAATCTTCGTATGTGACCGAGGTGTATTTTATTCAATAAATAATAATGATTTTTTAAAGATTATCGTCTAATTCTTAAATGGAAACGGAAAATCATGCAATTGCATAATATATGTGCTTATGTGACTTTAAATTCTAAGACTTAGAATATTACCAAACAATCGCCTTAACAAGAATACATATTTGTGGATTACCAATGTACATTGAATGTTACGTGAACAATAATCGCGTCAACCCTCGTACGTGTAATGAAAATACTCGAATATTTGTTAAGGATCACAGATTATACTTTATAATATATAAGTTATCCCTCGCGTCGCAATTGAGACACGTACTGTATTCGTGGGTTGATGTTTTTTTTTTTTTTATATGAACATAGTATAACCGCTATTTTAAATTCGCATATTAATAATTACTTCAGTTTTTTTTTTAGACTTTCTCACAAGAAATCTAAGACCGTACAGCCTTGATTTAACCGCGTTATTGATGAAGTGCTGCTTATTGACAGGTCAGACTCAGTATCTTTGTAAAAGAAATTTGGTGTTCGGATTCTGGCTATACTTGTTCTTATCTCGTATAAGGCTTTGGCACCCATATATCCTAGCCTGGATGTAGTCGAATTTAGAGCGTTTGTGCACTACCGGTGCTCGCCAATATACGACCATATTCACTAACACCGTAAGAACTAAATTTAAAAAAAAAATCTAAAAAAATACAGTTTTTGATAGCGCCAATTAAATATTAAACAAAAAATCTTCAAACAAATAAATTTCACATGAAGTTTATCTATCACGTTTACGATTCGTCTTCTCAAACCGAATGGCTACATATTTCCAAAAATGTATTACCTCTTAATTTTACTACATATGTCTGTAAATGGATAGTAACCACACGTTAATAAAAAAAAAGTTCAATGTGTTCATTAAACAATACTAAAAATGAATCCAATACAATTGTAGTTTTCAAAACTTCGATATTAATTTGGCAGTCGTCTTAAACTAGTGACTGTACCGCAGATAATCTACTCTTGACCTTTTCCATTAAGAATAGGAATGATATTCCATTTGAGAAATATATCGACGCTTGAAAGGCAAACGTGACATAATCGACAATACCTGATTTGTACATAAATGATAGGCAATAAACCATATTCGATGCGCAAAAAATATATATTTCTAGGTCTATTAAAATAATTTCAATCCTACAGCTACTAGCTAGATTCTACTACAGCTAGATTCGTTAAAATAAATTTTGTTTTCAGGTATTTCAACTTTAAATTAGTCTACTGTAAAGTTCACACATTGCTATTCGAATATTGACGACTTGAAAAGTACATTATATGAGCCGAACTTCCTTAGTCTGAAGATTTTCTCAATGAAAAGATTTAAGAAGTATTAAAAAAAATCGACCCTCACCGTTTACGAAATTCATTAGTTCATTAGCAGACCCGTCACTCTGTACAATCATCTATAAAATCCTTTCGAGTCGATATAAGCGGCACTTTTATTAGGTTTAAGTACATTCGAGCATTGTTCAAGACCGAGAGGGGAATGGGGTAGCCTTTTACTAGTCAATTATCAACTTTTAGTCCCTTTACTTGTGCTTAAGGCTCAGTTAATCTGGTTTTTTTTTTTATCGTACATTTTTAGGGAACTTTTATGTTGGACGCGCGCGAATTCTTTTAGCTGTTAACTCTTGGCTTTAATATGTATTTAGCCTGCATTTAATATTATCTAATTTTAGTTCGCAATGTCTTGTGGCTTGATTTTTGTGTGTACTCGCATCGCCTATTCAATTAATAACTAATCCTTCTGTAATCATTGTAGCTTGGAGAAAATCTCTGGCGTAGAAATATGAATGTAGTCGAGTCGTAACAGGTAAGTTCATGTTTATCTCATTCTTCAGTAGCGCTGGCCACAGCCAAATCTTGATAGGGATTTTTTGGTAGTATTGATTTAATATCATAATTATAAATCATTTATTATATTATAATCAAGTATTTAGTATTTCTTAGACATTTTCGGGCACCTCCTTAAAGATGCTAATTAGTTAATAATTATTATTATTTTAGATTCTATTTTATTCGATCTCTGGACAGTTTTTTTTTAAAAGCTAATCATTTAGTTGTAACGTCTCGTTGCTCGTCTGATGCGAAACGTTTATTGAAATTTATATACTCATATATATTCGTGTTCACATTATCTGCATCAACCAGCTTGAGATATGAGTTCGAATATCAGAAGAATTGGTCGTCAGAACAGAGCGATCGTACCACAGAATCCTCGGGATTAGCCTTGTTTCAATCAGTTGCCAATTATTTTTTCGTTTATTTATCAATAAAAATTATATTTGTTTCCTAACGTATATATTATGACTTGAATCGAACAGCTTGTAAGTAAAATATAATATATAAATCGATTGTTTTTTTTTTAAATTAAACACATCTTTAACCTAAAGGAAATAAAACTTGCAACATTGAAATAAAGATTTAATTACAATTGTTACATAATTTTTACTCATAATAATAATAATAATAATATTAATAGGTATATATTCTATAAATATCTATGTAGAACATTTAATATTAAGCGAATGTATTCGATTTGGTCACATAGTAATTTTGTTTCTAAGAATTCCTTTTTTGTTTAGTTTTTGAAAGCCTCGATCCATTTGATTGGATCACAAAAGCCAGGGCTGTCTTAATTTTTTTTTATCGCGACCGACGTAAAAATATTAATTCAATCTAATAAATTGAAAGTATATCATTTATTTAAAAATAGAATTAAATTTCAATGTGAATAAAAAAGCGCCCTTGTTTCCATGATCGAATCTTAACAAATCTGTATACAATAAAATTATTATAAAGAATCGTTGTATAGTAAAGTAATCGTAAAAATGTTAAAAAACATTTTTTATTTCTGTATGCAACCGCTCGATACAAACATTTTTATTTACACATAGAGAAATTGATTTCGGTCGTAATTAAAAAAAAAACCGGCATAAGTAATCGGAAATCAATGTTAGTGCTGTTGTAAATATGTAGTAAATTTGGTTCGTTCTTTTTTTATTTATTTATTTCAAGGCTATTGCACAGCTTCTCGTATATATGTACTTATAATTAGATTGACAGCAGTTACTTCTTAAGGATCGGCTTGTAATCACCGAACGAGTGCGACGTGTGAAATATATCGGGTCAGATGCTTAGGTCGGGGTCATGTCCTCGTATCTAACGTTCATAATTCGACATTTTGTGGAGAAGAAATGATTAATTGATATTAAAATAAAATTTAGCTTTTAATTAATACTAAAGATAAAGAAAGTTATTATTTTTATTTATATTATTCTCGAAAATTGTTTTTGCCAACTCGTTACGGCGTGTCAAGGAAATGTCGAATGTACAATATTTCAATTTGCGAATGAATTCATTTAACGAAAATACATTCCGGAATATAATTTTATTTACAATGTATTCTAATTATAATAATTTGAAACAATATTTAAAAATTTAAATTTCGAAGTAATGTCAACAATGTCGCGTATACCTGCGAAACTGCCCTTAATACTTTGTACAATCCTCCACAAACTAAAATAGATAATCTACAAAACATTTTTTTATATGTATATATACAAGACAACAACAATAATCAAATCGACGTCCTTTTATCATTATTTAGACATTAACAAAATTAAACAATAGCTTGCGTGAACAGGGAAATTTCTGTGTAAAACAAAATATCGACTGCTTTATTTAGTTTTTATTACACTTAAACTCTAAACAAATTTATATCTGGCACTTGAACTAAAGAAAGCCTAACGTTCAAATAAAATAAATGTTTGGAAGAACTTAACGAAATGTAGCTACTTATACATTGTAATAAGACCCTTAAAATACATTAAACTCGAGCCGACGAAACAAGGACATTCACATTTTCACTAAAACCAATCGTAGCTTCAACATTCACACATAAGTAATTGCGCTTTCATTTTGTCTATAAATAATTTGGATATTAATTCTGTTACAATCTTAAATCTATAAAAATACTGAGCAATGTCGATTCTATACAATATTTCGTTAGACATCTGAGTAGTAAATTACCGGTGACAACCATCGTTCAATTCACTAACAACGGTATAAAGTATTTACTTAATAGATTTCTTTATCATTATATGTGCATAATAGTTTAGGAATTTAAAATTACACTATGCGATAAACAAATAAACTTATTTACCAAATCAATTTAATTTTACAAAGGGTCTATCGACCTAGTCGTTTGTTAGGCGAGTTCTATTACCCTACGTATGCGTTGTCTTATCATAAGAATGAAAACGCTGTGCCACTGATGATGTCTTATAGGTTCAAGTTCGTTCCAGCGACCCAGCTCCCACGTGCTTTACCTGAAACAAAAAAAAAAACACAAAATTTATTTCTATCATATCACTCCCAGAGCCCTAACACCTGTGCCGTTCGTTAGTTTTAAAACAATAAAAGTGTCCCTTAAAAAGAATAGCGGTATTTAAATTAACAAAAAAAAAAAAACAAAAACAAAAAAACTACATCTCGATGTCTGTTCCGATTCTATCGCAGCGTCGCCCGCCGCCGAGTTCACACATACAAAACCGAAAAAGAAAAAAAAATCTAAACCAATCGAGATGAGGTGACGAAACGCTCAGTCTCATTATCTGAGAATTTATTAACGAATCGTCCGGACCGGAAAACCGAAATGTGAAAGAAATAAAAATTCGACCTCGGCCGCGGTCATCTAAACTTTGTACGGCGTCAATGAAAAAAGAAGTCAAACGAGTTGTCCGGCCGACCTGCGACTGAATGAATCGGAGAGGGACCCGACTCAGGATCGAGCGATAAGACGAAAGATTAGAGCTTCGAAAAAAAGTAAAGCAGCTTTTAATGCTGTGGCAGTGTTGTGAATGAAGAGGATCCATTGAGATTCCGCGCCCACGCACGTTTGTAGATCCGCCACGTTATCTCTCTCTCCTCAACGAGACTCTTGGCGCTGCCCTCATGAAGTTTATCAACAACTCATTTCAGAAATTCACAATAACATCCAATTCTACTATTTCACTAAAAAAACTTAACTACTGCAAGCAGAAAACTAAATATTAACAGTCATTTAATGTGTTAGTTTAAAAATTAATCGGTTTTCTATGTCGGGACTCGTTATTGACATTAGATTCTACAAACCGATAAATTAATTCCGAGACGTTTTAATGGGATCCCACCGAAGTTTTAGGTACCGATATAATTCAGTGAAATAATAAGTTAAAACGATACAGGCATGTTATTTAAGCCGAAAACAAAAAACTGTCGATTTAAATCCATTCTTTTTGGGGGCTACTTTAAAAGAATACCGCGATAAGGAGTTATTTTCGCGTCAAGGAATTCGAGGGACAAAAAGGCGTGAAAACGAAAATAATACAAAAGGTTTATAGAAGTGAATTTGTGAGCGTTTGGCTTAAACAAAATTCTTGGCGAAGCCGTCCTGTGCGGCGACGTAGCCGGTGCGATTTATTATAATGAGACGAAGATGCCGGTGCTTCTTCTTAGAATACCTTTGATGGCTCTTAGAAAAAAAAAGAAACAAAAACTCGATGTGAAACTAAATAAATCTAAACTTTGTCTAATATCTCGAATTTATCGTGAATCAGTAACTAACTATGCCACAGTAAACATGAATTTAAGAATCATACAAGATTATGTAACTTTACGTAAGTTACTTTTAAAACAAGACGAGGAGAAGGAAGAAAGATCCGAAAACGAATGTTTTCTGACATCACAACTTACAAGACCACGTCGAAAAACTATATTTGACTAATGCATTTTCACGACGCGTAATGTATTGCAATTAAAATCAGCTGGCGAAGTTAACGGTCCCGAGTGCCCCGGTGACAGGATTATTTAGCCACGAAATCCGAACTTACTAAAACAATTAGTGTGTATATTTAGCTTATGAATATTTACGCCTTTCGTTCACGTCGAGGTTGGAAAATCGAGGGAGGCATTTAATGTTATATTATTTAAAATCGTCTTTTTTTTCCCTACCTATGCTGATAGGCTTGGGAGGCTATTTCAGCTTCTCCTTGACGTGTAGGTGAGCTCACGGGGCTCTAACCGGGAGTGTTGCTAACACTGGCCCTAGCAAGAACAATGCTTCGCAGAATCTACCACCGGATCGGAAACGCGACCCACTGAGAAGATCCGGGAAGAAACTCAGTGGGCTATGTCTATGGGTTAATTCACTCGTCGAGCCCTTCGTTGTAAGCGACGGGTTCGACGAGAACGGTGATTAGTGCTTGTGGTACCTAAAAGCACCGTTAATGGATCGGGAGGATCCGTAATGACGTGTTTAGGGCGACGTCGACTGTTTACCATTCGGTCTACAGGATCGGGTATGTAAAATCGTCAATGTTTAATGTACCTACAAGTATGTTCGCTAAGTGTGTAAAGCTATGTGAACTAGCCGTACTACGTGAAGCTAAGCCGGTTGACTATGCCGATCCGTTGTTATGTCAGCTAAGCTAAGACTCTTTCACTTCACCTAGTGCACTCCTTAGGCACCTATTACTAAACTGCTTGTACAACACCAACTTAGTTTTCGCTTAGTTGTTGATTTGTACGCAACCACTTTCTAGTTTATTTATGACCAGCTTAGTTCAGATCAGGCTTTAAAGTCAGATTTGTTCGAATGATACATTCATTCTAATAAATTCATTCTAACATTCTAGAATGATTCATAACACAAAGTCATAGTTTTATAGCTCGGCAAATACTAGTACTACAAACGAATCTATATACATGAGATTTAAAAAAAGCATATCCGCCGTGTTGGTTCTTTATCGAGATATTATGATCATTTCGATTTCGGTCATCTTACACCCATGTAGGTATGTAAATGGATAGAAAAACTAATTTGGGCAGGTCAGTGGTGTATTGTACGTGGGCGTATGAAACTCGACGTTTCGACATTGACAAATGATGCGAGATTGCAATCTCGTCGCCCTCGAGCCGCGCTACTCCCTTCCGCCTTTAGTCAACTCCATTGTTTTCAATTACCGACATGACGTCCCGGCGCGAGCGGACCTCTGTTGCCAAACCGCAACTCTGTTTATGGCTTTCTCGGTATCTCAACTACGATCGCCCGTTTACGAGTTCGTCCCTCATTCGCGTGTGTGGGTCGAGATGCGTTTTAGCGGTCAACTTTATTTAATCAACAACTCACCGCTCGCCTAGTACTGCAAGAACCGCTTTCAGACGGCCGACGCGAAACCGTTGGGATGGTGAATGGAACTGGAATAGGAAACATTGATCCTTTTCACGTAACGTATTCACGGCTTAGCCTAACAACTGTTGAGAGGGTATCGCTTTTCATTATTTTTTACAGGAGTAACAACGAAAATATTACCTTTTATAGAAGGGTTTGAAGGCCGCAGAGCCTTCGTTGTGGTGAGGTTGATTAGGCTGATGGTTGGTCGGCGCGTGGTGTGGATTGTGATACGGGTCGCGCTGAGGTGACTGTTGGTGTCGAGGAAAGCAGTAGCCCGAGCCTCCGCCGCTACCCAGGGGATTCGCCACACTCGGAACTTTCATATTAGGTGGTGTTTGCGGTGGCGTATCTGTTTGCACATCAGGAAAAGCTGCCGGATGCACGCATGGGTGTTGTCCACTGTACTGGCTACCAGGAAATCCTCCGTAGCGACCGTAAGACCCGCTTGCAGGACTTGCCGCGGCGGTTGCAGGTAACGCAAATCCGTTCGAGCTACCGTCAATTGGTGCTGCTCTCTCGGGAGGTCCGTATGAGTGTTGAGGCCACGGCTGCGCGGCGGGAGGAGGCGTTTTGCAGGCTGCGGTGTCTGCCAGCGACCATATTTTCGGTTTGGAAGCCGGAATCGGCACCCCACAGTCTGAAGTTCTTTTAGATTCTTCCTTTATTCCGTAGCTCAGCAGCTGATGGTGCATCCCTTGCAGCATCTCGTCCCCTTTCCGCTCCTCATCTGTAAAGATAATCAGATTCATCGATCATATTTTGTGTCGGATCAGCAATAAACGCGAGCTCACTAGTCGTTGCGTACAGATTAGTCGTCATAGCCACCGTAGCTAACGCGACAACAATAAAGAGGGCTTAAAAGCGTTTTATGAAAAAATCAATAGGACACGGATCGTACAACCGACGTGACCATTACGAGCGAGACGTAAGTTTTAGCTCGTAAGATGCGAAATCTCCGATCACCCTTCGGGAAAGTCGTGTGAAAATACGTTTGGCGTGCAGTGACCCATTCGTTAAGTGGTTATCCGATTAGCGAAGTGAAAATACCACTTTGGGGCGCGACTCCCCTGCCGCGGGCGTGATGCCCGTTGAGATCCCTTTTGTATTTAAGCTGAGCATTTATTTCGCATTTTCCGACGAGGCCCGCGGCACGCCACTCAACAACGAAATATGCTATATGATTAAACGTCAAACAGTTTTCAAACCTCATAATAAAACGATACGAAATTTTAAATAACTGCTGGTGTACTTTGACATAGAAAACTTTACATGATTTGATAGAATCGTGCGTTTTCCTAAATTATATTTATTCAATCCTGAAAAGAAGCGCTATCGATTAATATTTAGATTTGTTTTTAAACAAAATTGTAAGTGTTCGATGTTTTTCGTTTTTAAATTCAATTAATGTACAATTACAAAAAAAAAAATGTTTATTCAAAGAATTTTGTACGGGCCTAAGTATTATCATAATGCTATTTCCCGCTGTAAAGTGGCTTTCGGGAGGTGCGGGGCGGTTTGGGCCTCTAATGAAATTCACAGACCCGTGAGCGTCGCGAGGGGAGCCTCTGAGGGGACGGGAAGGCGCGACCGCTCGACTTCATTCTCTTTATTCCATTTAATGCTGACTGCTCCTAGCTTTTAAGAGGGGTTATCCGCGTTGCCCTTCACTAAGGATAAATAGGGACGCCACTGATACTCGGCGCGAAGATATTTATCCGGCAAATTGTTTTAATTTTCATTGTATTAATCTAATAAAGGCCCACAACGGTCGGAGATAAGGCCGAAATTGACGGCCCTGCAATAACGGTTTGTGTTTAATGCAATGGTAACGTTATTCGTTTTACTTTTTAAATTTTTAAAAACCTTTGATGAATTATGGGTGTTTTAAATTTTATTTTAGTATTATCTCGCGTATGCCGCGAGAGTTTTCTTCTTTTTTGCTTTTTGAGTTGCTTTTTTTTTAATATTTATATTTTTTTACAAAATAACATATGAGAATTATAATGATCTCTATTATAAAAAAAATGCTAAGTCTAAAATGGCAAATTATCTACTTTCGTTGCTTTGATTTTATTTCAAATGATTAAATTATCTATAAGTTTCATGAATGCGAACTAATGCGAATAAGTTTGAATTTTTAAACAAAAGCAACGATATAAAATCGGAGCCGTGGAACCGCGACAATAAAAGTTCAATCAACTATTCGCGGCCGATAGTGAGGGAAATCTGCAATAAATATTTATCGGGCACCGGGTCCTATCCCCGAATATGCAAACCGCCGATTTATTGACGTGACGACAAACACGTATCGGAGGGAAGAATCGTGGAAATAGTAGCAGCTCGTGCGCTGATGTATACGTTTTTCTCTCTTGTGTATTTTAGTTGTCGAACCTCGGGGTGAAGTGAAGCATAATAAAAACTCGTCTCAGTCGCTTAGGGCGTCTAACAACCCCGTTCTCCCCGCAGCGTTCCCACTTTAAGTAATTTACTCCGTGTTTGGAGTAATCCCTTACTTTAATGTCGTTTATTTCACACATAAACTTTCCTTTTGTCGCTAATATTTTTACAGAAATCAGGTATGCACCTATGTATTTTGAAAATCAAAAAGCATACAGTCGATTAAAGAAATACCCTTGAAATTATCAAGAGTTTCATGCCGAACATTTTTTTATTGCCTTTGTAGGCAGACGAGCATACGGCCCACCTGATGGTAAGTGGTCACCGTCGCTCATGGACGTCAGCAATGCCAGAGGCAGAGCCAAGCCGCTGCCTTCCATGAAGTACTCTCCGCAAGCCTCGTTTGAAGAAGGACATGTCATAGCGCTCGGAAAACACAGTGGAGGGGAGTTCATTCCAAAGCCGGATGGTACGTGGCAAAAAAGATCTTTGGAAACGCACTGTCGATGAATGCAGCGGTTCCAGGTAATATGGATCAACTCTGCTCCGATGGCGGGAGGTGCGATGATAAAAAGGATATGAGGGAATTTAATTGGTGCGAATGTTTTAGTTAAATCAGAACGAATGGGTACATCGATAGCAGCTGTAGTGCGTTCCTGCAAGCCCGGTCTGCAGTTTACGGCTGAAGTCGCTGCGATTTATTGCTCCTTGTACAAACCACCTCCGGCCGGCGCTATTCCGTTTGTGTCCCAACACTCACAACGCGTTTTCCATTAACGCGTTTCGGATTAATATTGTGTTCGCAACGCGTGCGCGCTCGTGACAAAAATTAACATTTATTACTGGGGTCCGGTAAAATGAAGCTTTTATTCATGAGCGGCTTAGCGCGCGATAGTTCGCTATGTTTGTTTGCCGATGTCGGACGACGTTCGCGACCTATGGACCGCGTGCGAACACTGCACCGTTGGCTTTGTTCGGAACGACTTAAAATGATATATCGCGCGTCACTAACATTGACGTTTCAGTAAAAGAATTGCGTTACGAATGAGTAAGGGTTCGTTTTGCTCATTCGTACCTACATAGGTTATATCGATTGTGTAGATATTATGTTTTTAAGGTTTAAATTTGATGCGTCATAAAATGAAAACTGATGAAGTATTCAAACAAACAAAAGTGCTCACGTTATTAATTGTTACCTACTACTAATGGAAACATATCACATTTCAAAAATACCTATTTATCTATTATATACCTAGATATTTTTAATTTTGGTTACGTACGTTTAACTTTAATTACGACAATAATTATTTAACAACGCACAATCAGAAGTAAATAAAAACACGTAATATAATCCCCGTACTTGAACTTCTGCGTTAAAAGAAAATTTAAAATAATTGTAAAATTTAGGTCGAATTGCTTGTTGGAAAAACAAATTTTTCAAATTCACAATTCGAAAAACCTTTAAAATAAATTAATCTGCTTAAGTTTAGTAAGTCAAGTCAGTAAGTCAAAGTCTCGTCAAAGCTGTCCAAATAACCTATTTTTATTATTGAAATAACTTATAGAATATATATTAATCTAATTCAATTAGATATCATTAAGATATTTATCTAATTCAATAAGAACAATGTCACACAGACATTCATAACATACATCGGACGACGGTAGTTCTCATAGATGTGTGAAGTTTCATTATTAACAGTATTTCGTGCCCCCAGCGGTGATGCTGGCGGCAAGCGCGACGCCTTTCAAACCGCGAATTAAGTACACTTCTACTACAACAATAGTGGGCTTCATTACAAGAGCGTATGCCGGGCGTCAGCCGCGCGTCATCCGTGACGCCCTCTCGTCCTGCTTCCATTAGAGCCGTGAAGTTTGCAATGAAAACACTCCTACTCGAAATCATCTTCATTGTAATAACGTCCACTTATAATTTATGTCGACGACAACCAAAACTAAAGCCGCCCTCTCGAAGCGTTCTCACGTACCGTGCCTAATGCGCGTCTGGATTTTATGATTGCATTCAACATAACGATTACGGGAAATCGAATCAAAACGATCTAAAAAGACACGAGTACCTACGAATCGATCCCGAAAATCAAACACAACGAACCTGTAACAATAAAGAATGTTGAAAAAGGGTTCCACATTAAATTGGAACACATTATAAATCCCCAAAACCGTACTTACTTACTTTCCGACGGAATATCCTCATAAAAGAAACGATCCACGAACTCGACAAATCCTTTGGCAAGAACATGAAGTAGGGCAGTTCGTCAGACAAGCCGAACGCGACCTCCGCGTGGCACCCCGTTCTACCAACGAACGGAAGACGCGTTATATGAAATTTGGGCCTCGGCGCCGCCCACTTTACTACGAATAGGAAATCCGGGAGCGAGAAGCGGTTACGCACAGTTACACGCCTGAGACCCTCCTCTCCCCGACACCCGCGCCCCGCTCTTACCCTCACCTCCTCTCGATGCCGTACACCCTGCGGGCCACATCCCTCAACCACGATATGCCAATTCACTCGACGATTTATACACCGACAAAATTAAAGCAATTTTAAATGGTTAACAACGCCGGCGTAATTCGTACATGGAAATAAACACGCACTACTCACATTTAACAGAACAAGCGAGGTAACATTAAATTATTGTCATTCGCAGTCGCAACTAGTAAATAACAACTATCGGACAGTTCATAGGTGGTAATTCGCATAGCAGAGTTGGGAGTTACGTAATTATAGGCAGGGGATGAAGCGTTAAGGCAACAACCGACACTCGACCGACTATTATCAATTTGAAAATAGAAACATCCTTATTTTTGAATTTTCCAGCGAGTGTTGTTTGTTGCGAAAAGACAAAACTCAACGAACCTTTGTGGGATTTAAGTTTATCGTCTTGGTCATCTTTGTCCTTCTCCTCGTCTGAGAGCATCGTGTCGTCGTCATCATCTGCCTTGTTTTTTGGCTCCCACGTCATCTTGTTTTCCTTTTTAAGTCGTCGGCGTGCGTTCGCGAACCACGTCGAGACTTGTGTCAGCGTCATCTTAGTTATGATAGCGAGCATAATTTTCTCCCCTTTCGTGGGGTAAGGGTTCTTCTTGTGTTCGTTGAGCCACGCTTTAAGGGTGGCTGTCGATTCTCTAGTAGCATTCTTCCGTCTCGCAGCTAAATCGTAACCGGCTCCGTATCTGTTGACAAACATGCATATACTTACACACCTAAAAGCGAAACGCTTCCGACCTTATATGATACCAATTCGCAGTTACATTGAGTTTCGGAAGAGAACTCATTTACATGAGCGATGTGGTTTTTGATTCTAGAGCTGCTAATGTAATAATTAGAAGAGTGGCATTTTTAATTATCATTGAAAGAGATTCTGCGCATAATAAAATGAACAAAGTTAAATCCGGAATATTATTACAGCAAATTGAATAACAAACGACTTCACTGAACAGTGTCATTCATACGTCGAAATGTTTACAGCGGGCAATAAAGTGGCTTTTAAATTTGCAACAGATAGGCGTTTTATATGAGGCAATAGATTTCTCGTTACGACGGCAAAAATAAAGCTTCCGCGGCACGAAGCGACATTCGGAACTGTTTTTAAGAGCTCGTTTCCCATTTGCAGCCGCGATCCAGGAATGATCGTGATGAATACGAGCATTTCATTGACCCATTGAGCGTGGAGCCGCCGATTTTATCATAATTGACTTTGGTTTACACATTAAAGCGGCAAGTGTACCTTAAAAAATTAAGTAAATAGATTTTGTCTCGAAACAATTTTCGGATTTCACTTTAGACATCTACGCAATATTAATATGGAGGATAAAACGACGGTATCGCGTCCGATAGCCATTTTTATTTCGGTAAATGTTAATCTTGTGATTTAAGCGTCTTGAGAGTTATCTTTTGTTTAAAAGGCGGTTCGTTGCATCTCGGCTGCAATTGCAGGGCGGTGCAGCGCAGGCGTGGGTGGTGTGGGCGTTCACGACATCAATCGATAGCGACGCCATCTTGCGCGCGGACGACACCGGTATTGCTAGTTGCTGATGACCTCCGGCCATGCACAGACCTCTTGAGCTGCATCTCACAGCCGAATTATTTCTGAGTTTCAAGTTTTAACGTAACGTAATACGAGCGTACGGAATTGTCTTAGTAACTTTCAATTAAAAAAAATACAAAAGCGAATAGTGTTTGTGCCGGAGGCGCGTACACACAAAGCCTTTAAATCGAGCCGCATTAGTTTGAACACGAATAAGCTCTTTTGAAATCTATGTCGGTCGAGGAGTCGCGCGGCGACGTTTAGGAGAACAGCGCTTTATTGCTTTAATATTTTGTTTGCACGTATGGTTTTCAGCGTTAAGTTCGCTTCAAAAGTTTCGATGCCGAGTTACGTTAATTAATTAGGACAGTCCGTTCGACGCTCGCGTCTCGAGAACACGTGCATTCGATTTAGAGAATGTTAATACTTTCATGGGCGGAAACGCTTTTATATCCCACCTAATTTGTTGATTTCAAGTCACTTTAACATATTTAATCATTCGTGACGTATCCTGGATTAATGAAACTGGAATTTGATTTGTGGCTTTTTTCAATCTCACGTGAACATTACTTTTTAGAAAACTTTATCATTTTACGTAAGCAGTTCTTTTTTAATTCCTTTCCGGCGCGCTTACTCAACTTGAATCTTGAGGTCGAAGTTACAATTCAGTTGAAGTGAGATAGATATATATTATCTGTCATTTCAAAACTCACGATAGCTTCGAAGTGCCTACGAACTAACTACAAATAGTTAAACAAATTTATAAATTTTTCTATAGTTAAAATACAACGACAAGTCCGCGGCGCAATGAAAAGCGTTGTAGGGCGGGCGGTTACAGTAACAACCGTTGCTACATATTTGAGCTCGAGGAGCATTCAATTCGCGGTATCGGAGGTTTACGATCTGCCCGCTCGGGGGAAACGGGACGCCCTCCCGTATCTAGAGAGGTGATGTTTTATCGATATCGAAACATTGACAACTATCGATAAATTCGAATTTCATTTTCTATTAAAATAATTCGAATACACGCTCGCGATTCCGATCTTACGTCGATTATCATTCATTTTAGAAAATATTTAACACGTGAACGCCATATGAAAAATCGAGCATTTTCATTCAGGCCACGGTGCTCACCCGTGAGCCATATAAGGGTTCCAACACAAACGCTTCCTACAAGCCACAGATTGCAGTTAACAAACAAAACGCGTATGGAAGTGAGCCCTATGGCCCATAGCTTGTAGGAACTTGTAGTTTTTATCAAGGTGATATAGCCTTCTAAAATATTTTAAAAAGTACACGGTAAAAGTCGCTAATTTTTATCTTACGTGGAAATTATCTCATTTTATAAATTTTATAACATGAAAATCTCAAGTTGATAAAAATTACTGATACCCAAATTTTGGCTAAATGGTATAATATAATAATGGTATAATATATAAAGTGCTCAATGTGTTAAATTTTGAATTCAATTGAATTAACTCTTAATTTAGACTTCAGTACATAATATTAATAGTGTAAATCAGATGAGAAATGGACTAAGTTAATTTTTATGCTATCGATACTAAGCATATTATATAGCCAGTACATCTCTATCGTATGACTATGTATGTGTGACAAGTGCGCGTATATATGTAACAGGGTCCCGAGGGAGGCTCGGGTCGCATTAGAATTAGGATCCTGAACTGAAGCGCGGTAAGGCGTTTCGGAACTGTTGCCTTTATTTGATGTTGATTTCATACGAAGTTTCGTCGTATGTTACAGGCAAACTGTATACACTTAGGACGTTTTTAAAAAAACAAAAAATATCTCATTTAAATCTCAAATATAATAATATCTAATATAACCATGAAATTTCAACACAAACTCACTAGAGTACAAAAATTGAAATCCCAAATAAATTTATCAGATACATACTAAAACTATGTATATAAATTGTATAATAAAACTCAATGTTTTGGTATATTAAACGCTAATACTACATAACAAATCGATTTCAAACAAAAATCAAAGTATAAAACTGTAAAACATGATTTAATAAATAAAAAAATGTAAGCAGTCCTGAAGAGTCGTTTACAAATGAGCCCCGAAAACTCACATAAGTGTCGCCTGAATGAGTATTCTCGTTAACAAACGCTCTTTATTTGGTTTATTTAAAAAAGTAACAACCCAAATCGGTTGGCACACAAATAATTCCCTGAGCGAGCTACGTCGCACGCTCGGGGCGCGGTAATTTCCTGCGTATTTTGATCTCAATGGTGCGGTACAAGTGCTCCCTTCTCTCTTTTCTCTAATTTTTGTACGTTTTCTGTGCTCGAGACTTGTGTTTAAAAATAGCTGAGTAATTTTTCATTTTGGCGCGCGACGGGCGTGGCAGATTACAGGCTGTTCCAAATAATACGCAACGCAACGGTACTTAACTCAAGTACGCTCCCGCTCTCCGTCCGTTCCTTATACGTATATATGATTTTCACTGTTCTCGTACCTTTGTTTGGCTATTTATTCGGTCCGATAAACGAATTATTGTGAGCCCGTAACGTTTTTATGACTCTCCCCCGTGAAGTTTTTGTTTTCGAATGAATTCACAATTTTATAAGCAGTCGCGTTACGGGCCGAATGTATTTTGCGGTGTCGCGTTTCGTGTTTCAAATCGTAGTAAATTTATTAAAGGGAAGTGCGTCGTTTATTGTAATACTGTTATCGATCATCCTATGAGTGAGTTGGATCGGTGAACAATTATGCGAGAGCGCCGAGACTGCTATATATCACAGGGTATTTCCGTACGACTCGTCCCGGCGCGGCACTGCCGTGTCTTTTTTACGCATAAAAACTAATGTCCCCTCTAATTATTTTTAGATTACAACGCACCGTATGCTATATATTAAAACGAGCGCGGCCGAATTGTCAGCATAACTTTGCTTTGATGTATCATGATTTGTTTTTATTTTCGGACAGTTTCATAGTGATTCATGGCCGGATAAATTTCAAGTGCCCCGTGAAACGTGTATTTAATTGATGCTTCCGCATAATGCATTGTTATGACAGTTTCATGACGGCTGTCGCCGATTTATATACGCGTCGTCAAAAATAAAAATTTGTATACGATTTACCGTGGATTCACCCTTGTTCGACACGTTTGACGGGTTGATAAGTTTGCCGAAAACCGTCAAAGCAATGCGTCGACCGATCGCGTTTCAAAGAAAAACTGTGAATTAATCAGAGACTAGCGCGAATGGATGTGGCGTCATTCGTCTCTGTCAGGTTCGCGGGTGGATATGTGTCGAAATGAGAAGGCGAACCGTCGGGAGTGGTTACTCAGTCATTTGTCCCTTGTGGACGACACGCACTGCCTAACGCACGGGTGTGTGTGAACATACCTTTACCCATGACTTACGTATCTCAATTTTTTTAATGGGAGGTATTAGTGTTTAAATACCAGCTCATAGTGCAACTTAATAGCGTATTTAGACTTTCTTGGCTTTTTTTATTTTGAATGTATGTCGTTGCATTGAGCCGCGCAGGATGACTAATTGATTTTTAACACGTTTTTATTGCAAATTACTTCGTTTTATATGGAACTCTAAAACTAACTAATTATTTTATAGGAACATTTCTCGAGAAAACATTCCATAAATGGAGGCCGATAAGAAGAGCCTTAATAATAAAGTGTATTTAAAATAAACAAGTCCGCTGATAAACTAGAAATTAAAGTCTAGACATCCAACTTGGTGGTAGTACACATATGTTTCTTCTGATAGCTGGAGATCTATTTACGACAATTTCACTAATTCGAATTAATTGAGACATAAAACTCAAATATCGCTCTGATAAAACCCACAATTAACCCACGAATCTCTTATAGAAGCGCGCACAATATAATTAAATGAAAATTTATTCATGCCACTCTTCGTAGAATAAATATATCGCTCACTAAAAAATCATCTGAACCGAAACGTACAATGCAATAAGGACGGGGCTACATGTGCGCAACATAACAAATATTTATTAAAATCAACACGTTTCGCCAAATACAAAACACGAGCCTTTCGCATTGCAATCTATTAGAGAGATAAGTTTCGATAGGGAGGCATTATGTTAATCCGTGCAGGGCGTTGGCTTTATCTAAAGTGGTACGGGCGTTTGGACCACTGGGGCCTCGTGGACCCCGGGGACTTACCCGTAGGCCGCCAGCGTCGGGTCGTAGGGGTAGTAGCCGCCGGAGGGCTGCAAGCCTGCCGACGTCCACGCAGACATCTCCCCGCCGCTCTCCTTCAGCGCGTAAGGGTTACTCTGAAACATCGCACCGTGCAATTAACGACACACAGAAAGTAAATCATCATCATAGTCGGTTACTTATAGCAGAGCAGTCGTGGTCATGTGGAATTCATGTTTATTAATTAAATATTGAAACGCATTAACATATTTTATTTTATACAGTTAATTTCTGAGAGCTTTCTTCGTTAAATACAGCGCGTATTAATGATCTTATTCTGGGCTATGATGTATTCATTTTTATTTTATTTAATATATTTTGTACATACAGCTGTTAGAAAAAAACACGACAATAAGGATACAGAGTACAAGGGCACTACTTATTTCATGTTGAAATCTATTATTTTTATTATAACAAAGCAATATTCTTCATGCGTGCGAGTTTGTTGTCAGTAGTTGTTTGTAATAAATCGAAATTGAACAAAATTGAAATTAATTACATAAATAGAACACAGAAAATTTTCGTCATACATAAGTCTTAACTGATGTGGTCATGAAAAAATAATTCAAAGTTCGACTGAGTTACTTTCTGTATCGAAATTGGATCTATCAATAGTGCACAGACATTATGCCGTGATTAACTATTGTTGTAATCCCTGTTAATTAGTGGCATAATAAAGTGGCACATTAAAGTATGCCATGGTACTCATTTTGAGATTTATTGCCCATGTAGGCAGACGAGCATACGGCCCACCTGATGGTGAGTGGTTACCGTCGCCCATGAACTTCAGCAATGCCAGGGGCAGAACCAAGCCGCTGCCTACCGATATTAAATTCGAATTGTATTTTCGTTAAACTAATAATAAACAAGCAAATATATATATACAAAAAATAATTAACAACATCCAAGAGAGAGATATCCGTCAATAACAAAGCTTACTTGTAATCTGTTAAATCTCGACGCATAAATACATTTTAGTCAATCAGCCTACAAATACGTCGGCTTCAATTTAATTAAAGTTAACTTAATAAAAGGGAATAAACTCACGAGCAACAATAAAAGTCCCAAGTGTACGAGCTGACATATCACTAGTGTATTTGCATAATGTATGGATGCAGAGGGGAAATCTATTAAGGGATAACCCGGGCTCACGGCCCTCTGCGTGATAGCTGTTTAACAACTACGGAGTAAGTGCCTGATGCAGGGCAACGTACCCCAATACTCAACCATTCGAATGCATTAGAAGCAACTAAATTAAAAGTGTGAAGGATGTCGTCCGCTCCGGGCTCTGATGCCCTTGCCCGTAAAGGACCCCTTTGCGCTTTGCATACACTTGGGATGTTAAAATGAAAAGTATTATGGCGCGTGTGATAGCACCGGTTGCTCTTGGAGATAACCGAATAAAAAAAGAGCAAGCTTATTTGTCCCCTCTGTTCGTAATGTGACTTTTCCTCGACAATTTTTCCTAATTTACATCGTTATAATGCTGGGGGATTTTATTTATGACTTGTAATTATAATAGGATTAGACTACAGCTCACGACAATGGGCAATGCTACGGGGACACAATCAGGTGGGCCTCGGTCCGAGAACGACCAAAAAAAAAAAAAGAACAATAGATAGAACCAACATGGGCGTGTATGGGAGCAATAAAAACCGACAGTTCACCATTGTGCGGAAAAAATAAACAACCCGTAACATTCCTTATTAGAATGGTAACAAGTATTGTGAGATAATAGTATAATTATTGCTATGGAACCGCCGTTAATAGTTGTTCTGACTAAACAGCTCGTTTGTTTGTTTGATTGCTAGAACAAATTGTACGTCTTCGTCATTTGCTCGTGTAACATTGCTGATGACGACTTAAATGAATTAGTGATTTGCGTGGCTCTGTTATTATTGTGATGTACATTTGCCGCATTCGCTAATGCGGAAATCACTGATTAATTAAATATACTTATCGCTGTGTTTAATTAAATCCTTTTTGTGACGATTTGTTGGTGTGCCCGCCTAATCTCACTACGTCACTTGTAGCTGAGCTGCGAGCTCGTATAGTTACCTACCACCAACCTAACGTTTTGTAATACAAGTGAGACAGAACTCTGGTTTCAAAATGTTGGTTTTAACGTCGCTACGATTTTGAGTTTTAGTAACCAATTAATATTCTTGTACGCTTCCGAGACGTGGACCCTCAAGGCCCGTACCCGATCGAGAATTGACCCGTTTGAAATAGCCCAGTCATATTAGGTAAAAAAAGGGGTCAACCTCGGAATGAAAGATAATAAGCTGCAAATTGGTATGAACCTTTGTTTTGTCATTCTAAATGTTGTCTCAAAAGTCACAATCGTTATCGTGTCCGCGTCTCAAGATATTCAAGGTCAAAGGTCACAAAAATCGGTTTTTCGCGAATATCTGGCTTCCTATCGGTTAAATGAGATTTGCATTTATTATAAAAGTTGTAGGCTATAAAATTCCCTACAACTTTTGTTTAAACTTTTTTTTCATACGACTAACCGTTTTGAAGGTAGAGCGCGAAGAGTGCACATCGTACAGTCATATACGGCCTAATGTCAAAACACAAATATATTCTACTAAAAGTTTTGACCAATATCCTCGTACTAAAAAGCACATTTTATTTTTACACGCATTCAGTGGCTGTGACACGACTTCTGCGCTATTTAAAAAAGGAAAAAAAACTGTTACTAGAGCATTGGAAAAAATTCCTGATTTAGATAAACTGGTGGAAGTATTTCAACAAGAAAACTGCCCAAAACAAACATTATTAGAAAATGGAGTGCGCATCTTGTTGGCATTATATAATGCTCCAAAATCTGAGGACAACATTGATCATTTCCGCTACACGCAATTCATCAAATTTACAAAACTAAATAAACCTGTACAACTGTCAACACTTCCACCAACAAGTGTAGCAGCTCATCAACACATAAAACGTGTCTACTACCAGATTCAAACGTGGTTAGGGAAGGACTTAGAACCTCAAGAATGGGGCTGGATGCTTGAAAATGAAATCCTGGAGCCCATACGAACGTTATTACCTCCAGCACCAGCCGAACTACTAAACGTAATATTTTGCAATTGCAAAAATGGTTGTGGTTCCCGCTGTGGATGCAGAAAATCAGGGCTACAATGTTCTTTAGCTTGCGGCCAGTGCAACGGACAAGCTTGCCTCAACGCTTCACTGTATCCAAGTAATCCCGATGAAGAAAATACATATGATCCCGATATTCTCGAAGGTTTGGAGATGAACATGACAGATAATGAGGATGATGACAATGAATCGAACATTTTTGAGCGACAAGAAGAAGAAGACAACGAAGAAGAAGAAGATAATTAGCTTCCATTTCCAATTTCATTACAATTAAAATCAACAAAGATACTTTTGATATTTGAACTCACATTTTGATAAATGTATATTATGCCGTATTTAATAATAAATAAAAATATGTGTAAAATATATACTCTTACTATCATTTTAACTTAAAATAAAACTAAAATATATAATCCAGAATTAATAATATTTTATACTTAAATAGTTAAATATGAATAATTATATATAAATAATCAAGTTACTTACTTTAATTAAATATAAATAATTAATAGTTAGTACATAAATAATAGGCATTGTTTAATAATTATAATTTCCAAGTAAATAATTGACTTTATAACGTACTGATAACCATAACTCACGCTTGACCTTGCATTAGGCCGTATATGACTGTACGATGTGCACTCTTCGCGCTCTACCTTCAAAACGGTTAGTCGTATGAAAAAAAAGTTTAAACAAAAGTTGTAGGGAATTTTATAGCCTACAACTTTTATAATAAATGCAAATCTCATTTAACCGATAGGAAGCCAGATATTCGCGAAAAACCGATTTTTGTGACCTTTGACCTTGAATATCTTGAGACGCGGACACGATAACGATTGTGACTTTTGAGACAACATTTAGAATGACAAAACAAAGGTTCATACCAATTTGCAGCTTATTATCTTTCATTCCGAGGTGAAAGCCCTAATATGACTGGGCTAAAATGTGGTGTTGGCGCAAAATGTTGGGCGTATCACGGACGGAGCGCCGAACAAATGTGTCAATTCTCTCGGAGCTAAACGTCAGACCCGTCTATCTACAATCTGTATGCAGCGTCTCCCCAAGTACTTCGGACACGTGGCCCGACAAAATCCTGAGAACTTGGAAAAATTAATGGTTGTAGGTCACGTGGAAGCAAAGAGAAGTCGAGGAAGATTGCCAAGCAGGTGGACGGACATTGTCAAGGAGGCCAGAAACACCAGCATCCCGGGCGCCATTAAGCAGGCCGAATGCAGGCAGCATTGGAGGAAGCTGGTGCAAAAACTGGGCCATGGTGGTCACGACCCTCAGTAATGAGGAAACGACAAAGAAGAAGAAGAATATCAGACAGTCTGTGATGAGTTTGTCCATCCACTTCACTGCAAAATAATTATATGTTCAAACTGTTGTTGTTAAAATTCTTTTTTTTTTTTCATTATTTAAAACTTTACATAATTTAATTTCATTGAATTCATAAAAATCGTACCCAATCGTGATAGTACTTATCGTACTAATTTCGTTTTAAAAATTCACACAATTCTAGCGGGTATCAAAACGGCTATCTAACAATTAGGTACATTTGCTTCAAAATGCAAGCGAATGAAGAAAATATGATCTCACACATGACCCGGTACAAGAAGGCAGAGGCCCATTTCATTCAAACCAGTAATCCAATTAAGAGATATTAATTAGCCGACCATACGAAATGAATAGACTAATTAGTATTCAATTATCATCTTTTATAATGATAGGCAAAGAGCTCGTGAGACCAGTAAATGGATACAGGATGAAGTAAACAAACCACCGCGCTAAACCGAAGAACGGGTTCTCGAAGCTAATTTATTCACAAAGCTTTGGAAAAGAAGCGATTACAGAATTTAGATTAGATCGAGTAGATATATTTTCTACGTTTCGGCTAATTAATTTCAAACAAAACAAAAAAAAAATAGTAATAATTTATATTTTACCGTTCGCTGTGTGCAATGTTCAC